TATATGTCATAATATCTCTTTTACATCTTCGTCAGTAAATTAAATGAGTCAGCAAAAATATGATGACCTCACCTCCATTGGTTTCATATTGAGTACTTTAGTGATGCGGCCTTGCATAATCAGAAAATGTGGATTGTTCACATTTAGCCCGACCGTTCGGAACATATCCGCAACACGACTGTTTGTGGCCGCAATTCCATTTATCGTGTACGTATTTCGGCCATTGATCACTATCTGCAATTTAAAACATTTCCGGTCCCCTTAAAGCAAAATAATAGCGATCAAAGCCCGATATTAAAACGCCTCTCCCCGCCCTTTTCCCGTTCCCTTAAAGTTAAATAATAGTGGCCCAAGTCCCAGATATCAAAATGCCCCGCCCCCTCCTTCCCTCTACCCCCCTTCCCCTCCGTCTCCCTATTCAATCTAACTTTTATATTTTATCTTCCTAGAGGTATATTTTCAATATTCTCTACTTCTACTTCAGTTTTAATTTTACAGATCTTAAAGGAGCAAATAATAATGGTAAAACAGTGAAAGTACCAATGGTGGTAAAAAAACCCACAACATATGGAAAAATACTAATTACAATAAAAAAATCGGTTACAACTAAAATAATTCTTTTTAATTAATACAATTATAATTAAATAAAAATAGTGCTTTAAAAAAGGCTATAAAGGTAATACAGTGCCAACTGATAAAAAAGGAAGAATAGTCATATAAATATTAGTAAAAAATTATTATTTCATTTAAAATACTACGTCAATGGCTGGAAAAAGCAAAAATAATCATATAAATAAGAATACGGATAATTATCAAAAATAAATTTCATTATTACTTATTCGTCCCGACATATAACTAATTATTTCCCCCCTTGTATTTTTTACAAAAATTTGAACAGCCAGCCGCTTTTAGTAAAAAATAATAATTTTTTTAAAAAATAATTTTGTTAATAAAAAATCAAAAAAAATTTTTTTTAAATTGCTTACTTGTCTTCGAACAATGATTTCGGTGTATCTGTCGAAGCCAACTGGACGACTGCTTGGATCGGTATTGTCAAATGTAATTGTTACGGTGGCTTTGGTGATCCCGGCTTGGCCTTGCTTGTAGACCAGATCCGAGAGCTGCGCGGCACGCACCTGT